TAGTTTCTCATTTCTCTTCTCGCTTAACACTATTTATTGTTTATTACGTATATGAGTTGCAAATAGTATACTTTAAATGTACTCGAATTGTTTGTAGCTCACTTTTTTCACACCTACCATAACGAATAAAGAATAAAAAAAAAACACAGAATAAAATGTTCTACTATACTATTTCCATGCGATTTAGAAGACTTGTTATTCAGAAGCTGCGACAGTGTTTCGAAGATTTCGAAGAACTTCAAGATCCGATGAATATTTTCGAATGGAACCTTTTTCACATCAACTTGGTCAATGGTCAACATCGTCTTCAAGATCAAGTCAAATTTCCTTTTGTTTTAATCTTGATCTACAGACGCTAAGATAGTGAAACACCTGTCATAAAATCAAGCGAAGTTACCGAATGACAAGTCCATGAAAACGTAGCAATTCAAAAGATGTGAAACGTCAAAAAAAATATCTTTTTATAATAGAGAATATTCCCAGCGAAATTCGCATATACCTTTTTATACAATTATATGATAACTATTCCTATTAATACTGAGATGAGCATTAGAGATTCAAAAATTTGCGTATACATCAAATGTGTCCACGAAAACGTACAAACTCAGTCGGTAACATCGGTTCGTATGCTTCCGTTATGTTGAGGTATATTACGTATACAGGTTTCATTTGTTCACTAAGAATTACAACTAAATCAGCCTTTTGAGCGCACACAACGTCGCCAGATCTACTTATACACGCTTCCGACTAACAGTATTTACATAGGGTGCTTGTCTTTGGATACCTTTAACATTTTTGAGTCATCAAACTAAGAAACGGACTTTTATCAGACGACATATTTTACTGTACACGTTTAGTTTATGTTACGTCACGGATTAGACCACCTCAAGTTTAACATACAGAAGAGCAACTGGAAAAACAACAAATTATTTTTGAGGGGATAATACTGTCGACAAGGCATTAATAACATGCTGTTAGGGATAATATACAAACAAACCATTGAATTCATTGAAGAAAACAAAATTTTGACAAAAGACCAAGCTGGATTTAGAAAAAAATATTCTATAGAAACAGCAATGCAAATGGTGGTGGAAGACTGGAGAAGAAGTATAGATGAGACAGAATGAATTGTAACAGTATTTATGGTTTTAAAGGATCAGTATTAAACATTTTACAAAATAGAACTAAAAAAACTAAAGCATGTCAAGCGTTCAAACTTTACACTATTCAGAGAATATGTCGATTTTTAAAAGTCCGTTGTAAATATTATCACACATAAAAGCATTTTCAGCGATCTACAGTAACTAAACAGATATATAAAAATGCTTTATGTCTCAGGAATGCTATGTTTTATGCAAAAGAAATCGGTAATAATCCAATACGAAGATTGTGCTTTGTGCAAGTAACAACATTTACCTGAACATGACTTTTGGTATTGGAATATAAGATGAGAAATATTTAACCTTTAGAAATAAAACGTCTAAATCGAAAAATTGGGATCGTGACATGTAAATTCTGCAAAAATCGCCAATTTTTGCCTAAGAAACAAGCCGAAAAATCCATTAAAAATAAATCAATCTTAAAATACTCTTCGGAGTCTTGTAGAGAAAGGTTTAACTTTAACTTGGACAAATTATAATTTATAACTCGAAAACGGAAAAAGTTTATAGACAAATTAATATAGGCCTTTTTTGTTCAGAATAATCCATTTAATCTGAAGAAAATTGTTTTGAGCGAATAAATACATTCAAGGGACATTCAACAAACGTGATTAACAAAAAAAAAAATAGAGTTGGAAAACCCGATATCCAGTGATCATTTTTGAGCAGACGCTGCAATATTCGTGCGAAAAATTGTTGATGTCACTTAACATGGAACAAAAGGTAGGATAATCCCGCCCGAATTTGTTTAAACAATTTTTTTAATTACTTTAAACAAACGTTTTTTCGTCAAGACAAATTTTTTCAGGATTTTTTGTCATAAAAAGGTCTCCGTAACTTTTCCCTGAATTTGACCGTTTTTGAGTTACAAGCTAGAAAACTCTGGAAAATGGGTGTATTCATTGCTCAAAAATTAGGTTAGAAATTATAATTTTTCAGGTCGCATCTAAATTAGGGTTAAAACAAGACCGCGGTTTTTTAAGACATTTATTTTTGAACCGAATTGTAACCTTGGCCAAAATTAGCGAACTTAACACAGGTTTTTTGATGAAGAAAAAAGTCAACAGTTATAGTGAAACATGCCGAATTTTTTCCTGATATGCTACGCTATAATAACATTGGTCAACACTGGTATTGCCACACGAACTTTCGACAGCTAATTTTGTTTTATCAGTCAACCCTCATTATTACATGACAGCTGTCATATGTCTATTAGCCTCATATTTGTTGTGATACGGTAATACTCATAACTAGTACTACGGCAGTAAATTAACAGAAACGCTTACAAGTAATCCTGATAAAAATATTTGTTGTTGAATTTGAACACTTTTTGTGATTTATTAACCCTGTGAATATGTCGAGGAAGTGTAATAATGATCCTAACTCTTTTTGTTATGTCTGGGAGAACTAACATCAAAAAACAACGACGAAATTTTACGAATCTTGTGTTGGAGTGTTATCACCAATGTTTTGGTTTTTCTGTCGCCCATCAAGACAATCCTGGGCCCCTCATGTCTGTTGCATAACGTGTGTGAAAAATTTAACTGACTGGAAGAAAGGTGCACGACCTATGCCGTTTGCTGTACCCATGATATGGACTGAACAGCGAGATCACGTTTCAGATTGCTATTTTTGTCTCACAGACATAAAAGGTATAAATTACAAGAAAAAAACCACAGTTATTTACCCTAACTTATCTTCGGCTATAAGACCAGTCTCTCATTGTAAAAAATTGCCAAACTAATACCAGTTGCAACTACGTCTGTTGAGAACAATTCACAACCGTCCACTTCAGGTGAATGTGTTGACGAGGACGATGACTTTGAGTTAAAAGGAATTGTAAACGAGCCACATTTGATAACTCAAGGAGACCTAAATGATTTGGTTCGGGATTTAAATTTGTCAAAAAGCAGTCAGAACTATTAGGATCACGTCTAAAAGAATGGAATTTGCTACATCATAATACAAAAGTTAGCTATTTTCGAAACCGTGATCAACACTTCAGAACGTATTTTTCTCAGGATGGAGATTTGGTGTTTTGCAATAACATAAATGAGATTATGAAAATGTTGGACATAGATTTTGATCTCTCTCAGTGGCGTTTATTCATTGATTCTTCGAAAGCAAGTCTAAAAGCAGTGTTATTGCATAATGGAAATAAGCTTCCGTCTGTACCTCTGGCCCATGCTGCAAATATGAAAGAAACCTATGAAAATATGAAACTTTTACTTGAAAAAATAAATTACAGTACATATTCCTTCAAAATCTGCGGTGATCTTAAAGTTGTTGCACTATTACTTGGACTTCAGCTGGGTTATACAAAGTTTTGCTGCTTTTTATGTGAATGGGATAGCCGAGACAGAACTAATCACTATATAAAAAAACATGGCCTACGCGTGCATCGTTAGTTCCTGGGCAAAAAAACGTAAAGTATTTACCCCTTGTACAGCCAAATAATGTGCTTCTACCACCATTGCATATCAAATTAGGATTAATAAAAAATTTGTGAAGGCAATGGATCGCAATGGGAGTGGATTTTTGTATCTAAAAGAAAAATTCCCTAAAATAAGTGATGCAAAGATAAAAGAGGGTATTTTTGTTGGCCCTCAAATTAGGGAGTTAATAAAAGATTCAAGATTTGAAGAAAAATTAAGCGATTTAGAAACATCTGCATGGAAGGCTTTTAAAAATGTTGTTGCAAATTTTTTGGGTAACCACAAGAGTGACAGCTACAGAGAGTTGGTTAGCGAGCTATTATTGTCATATCAAGCATTGGGTTGCAACATGTCACTTAAGATCCATTTTTTAGACTCGCACCTGGATTTTTTTCCTGACAATTTAGGGGCTGTCAGCGACGAGCACGGTGAGAGGTTCCATCAGGACATTTCTAATATGGAAAAGCGGTACCAGGGCAAATGGAGCCCAAATATGTTAGCAGATTACTGCTGGACAATTAAAAGGGACCAACCAGAAGCTAAATATTCAAGAAAATCTTAGATTATTAAGTCATTTATAAAAAAAATAACTTTTGATTTACGAGATCTGTGTTTTTTCTTAATATTTTAAATTACTCAATAGAATAAAATCCTTGTCTAGCAACTTTTTTTTAACTGTTTATTTTTTCTTACAATCACCAATTAAAGTAAAAAATATCAAAAAAGTCCGTGTGGCACGACAAAGTTAAAATTTTGTTGACCAGTGTAATCAACGCTAATTTCGGTACATCATCTACGTGTCAGGTCAATGAACTTACAAACTTCACAATGAACAGTGAAACAGTAAAATATCCATTGTTTGCACAAAACATTACCACCGTTAGCTTGAAATAATGGATGACTATACTAAAATATGTATCACAAATTTATATAATAATTAAAATTAAAATGCACTTAGAATTATTTACTAAAGGTGTTAAACTTAGAAACGTAAATATAGCACTTAATGACTCTACTTCATGGCATTACGTTCCATGAGATTCTGACAAACATTTGTTAATACTTTTCATTATCGCTTTAGTTTCAATCATTTGGTATTACTTGGTACTTAAAGGGTACTTTTTCTAGCTATCGTGTTAATTGAGCCAACAGTAACAGTTCGAGGATTTGCGAAGAACTATGTGGGGCAAATTACAACTGACACCCTGGCAAAATGAGGTGAAAGTTATTTAGGAAATTTACTTGTTTTGAGAAAGTTGGCAGTTGCGTTTTCCTCCGTATACAAACTAGATAAACAATGGTGTTTGACTAAAGATTTTTTAAATCTAATGTAATGTCAGTGGAAGTAAAAAATAAAATAACGAACACGACAGTTTTTTTTTCATTTAAGCAATATTTTTATATGGGTTAAAGTGATAATTCCAGGAGTAATGACGATTATTTGCAAATAGAAATGGGTAATTTTGGCATTGTTTCTTATCCAACGTCCAGCAATGAATTTTGTTTCTCTTATTAGGGCTATCAGATGTGGAAAATATCGCACTTTTTTTAGAACTATAGTTAAACCATTCCACAAGTTATAATATCCAGGCGGATTAGATGAAACCGATGTAAATTCCGAGTGGTACCAAACGAGCGAAACTCCAGCGACAAACCCCCGAGCAAAACAAACAAAAAGTAAGATAATTGAATTCTCTCACTGCCTATCGCTAGCAGATGACGTATCCGGACTACCGTTATAGACAGGACCCGATGCCGCTAGATGCCCGTTATCCACATGCCCATTCTGGTGGATCTCCGGATTCTGGATCTCGGAATGACCGAGTCCAGCTTGGGCGTCTATGACCAAACCTCCACCGTCCTCCCCGTCGCTGCTGAATGAATCACCTTCATCGTCGGAACTGGATAGGATGCCTGCAACAGAATACCTGAATGAAAGTGCGTCCAGCTGAGGAACGATCACTATTCCAGAGAGCAGATTTCTACTCGGTGTAGGGCCGCATGTAGTAGTAGTAGTTGCAGTAGAAAGATTTATTTAGCACATTTGGCTACATAAACAGAATAATTGTAAACAACTTAGAACTAGTAAATTCAAGCCATATGGTGTATGATGTAATGTTGGGCAACCTATAATTGTAGTTTTAACAAGTGATTTCTCAATTTTACTTTAAATTTTGTCAAAGTTTTCTGGTCTTTTATCTCCGAGTATAATTTATTATATTCAATCAACCCTTGATGGAATACAGATTTGTAGCATGTGTTATACCTTTTGGTCATTAAATGGAAGTCATCTTTATTTCTGGTATTATGTAAATGATGGTCGACATTTGTTGATGTTAAATTAGTTAGACTTGATGGAAATATATTATTTTTTACTTTATAAATGAATATCATTACAAGATATTTGATAAACATTTTTACATTGAGCCATTTTAATTTGCTAAGCATTTGCCTAATTGGAGTATATTTATC